CGCAGGCTCCGGCCGCGGTCAGTGCGGTGCACGGCGGGGTTTGTGGGAGCTCGGCCCCCCGAGCCTGCGGCCTAGGCCGACGCCTTTTGGCTTGGAAATTGTTTTTCTTGCACTTATAAACAATCATTTAGCGTCAGCTTTTTTGGTATGATTTTAATGCATACGAACTTGCACTGGGCTACAGTCTATGGTTTGCTTTTTTTTTTTTTAAATTTGTTTGGTAACTTTTGGAAGCAAGAAATTGTAGGCCATTAGAGTCTTTTTTGACGTTGGTGGACCTGTTACCAAAGGGACTGTAAACTCCCCAGGAACGTTGTTAGGATTCAAGCACTGCTGAGAAATGGCTGTGGAAAAAGTAACAAACTAAGTGATGAGGTTTTGTTCCAGGAGATTCTCCATGGACTTCAGCTGAGAGCACACACCTGCCTGCCTGACAGCAGAGCTCCTCAGGGGAAGTCTAGTGCCACTTGTATGTTGGATAGGAAGAGATGGGCTAGCTTGTCTTGACAGAAACTGGTACACAGAGATAGGAATGTAATGATACTGAAGCTCTTCTAGAGAATGTTTTATGACTGAGTCACTGTCAGACAACTCCTGAGGCCTGGAGGTCATGCTTGTGATATGTAGAAACGTACTTTTTCCAGCTTAAAAAAAAAATCCAAAAAACAAACAGCAAAACAAAGCTTTTACAGTCTGGTTTTAACTGGCTTTAGAACAGGTTGTATGGTTCCTAAGGCTACTAAATTACATTCCAAGTCAGATGTAACAGAACTAAACAGGTTTGCTAAGTAAATAAAACTTATGTGAGTATGCTGTAAAGTTTTCCTCTGTTCCTCAGTAACTGTCATGTTCACTTGAGCCAAATTACATAAGAGGTATAGAGATGTAAGAGATGCCAAATTTCTACACATTCATGGTTCATTGGAAAGATTGTGTTTACAACTGGATTACAAAAAAGACATGAGTAAGAGTCGCTTTTCCTGAAGTTGCCATCTGTGCAGTCATTCAGGGGTGGAACAGTCAATAACTTTGTCCCATCAATTAGAATATTGAGCTTTTGGATATGAGAGAACAGGTGAGGCAAGGTGAAGTTCTGGGGATCCAGGAGGAAGCTAGGTGTGATGGATTTTCCCCTTTTTCTACTGAAACTTTAGGGGGATGAAATCCTAAGTCCTTTCTGTTTAGCATTTGATCCTGAGGAATGGTTTCCGTCAGGGCAGTTGCTGGATGTTCCCCTTGCTTTGTCAGTCTTATCCAGGTACCATGCTTTTAAAATTTTGGTAGTTAAAAGTGGCCCTGCAGCCAGAGAAAATGTCTCCAGCTTTTTGGTGTTGAGGCTGAACAGTAACACTGAGAGCTGGATTAACAAAGTCCAGCCTAAGTCCTTGGAGCCTTCTTCAAAAATCCTCTGTATAGGCATGTTTAGATTGGCTGAGCAGTTACCTGGCCCTCAAGTCTGCAGCTACCCCAGCAAAAAGTATTTGGAGGAGAAGATGGAGAAGTTAAGACCAGACTCAAGTTTAGTTCAGCCTTGAAGGGAACCAGTGGTCCCAACTGCTTTAAGGGAGTAGATGTATAGAAGTAAGACCTTTCTCTTGACAAAGGCATTTTTGAAAATCTGGGCCTTATCTTGCTGTATAGGCAGGCATGAAACCAGTGGCTCAGGTGACTTCAGTGAGATGTACAGTTTTTCTCAAGAAGGGTAGAAGTTTACCTTGTGTTTCTATCCTTTGAAGTAGAATATGATGAATTTTTCATTACAGTTTAAAAAAATGTGGTTGTTTGCATGGTGAAGTATTATTTGATGGAAGTTTTTCTAAGGATCACCAGAACGTATGGAACAGTTTGTCAGTGTGATAAACTCCCATTCTCTCTTTCTAATCCTGGGCATGAGCAGTGCCACAGGTTTTCTGTTAAAATTGAATTCTTCATTATAACTCAGTATTTTTAGTGATGCTACAAAGTAAATGAAGGTAGCATTCATGACTGAAATGCTTGACTATTTATGTAATGCCATAGTTAATTCCTATCCTTTTAAAACGTTATTAGTGTATTTGTTCCTGATGCTGTCCTGTACTATTTGAATGATACCATGTATAAAGCTTGATTTTACTTTAGCTGATGAAATTTTTAAGTATTAGGTTTAAATTGCTTGTTATAGTATCAAAGGTGATTGAATTGTTTTGTATGGAAGAAAGAACTTGGTTATTAGCATAATGGTAACCTGGTCTTTTATGTCCTCTGCTCCCTCCCCTTTATGCCATTTCCGTGACTCTAAAAAGGAACTGGGTGATCACTTGCTTGTCTGTTTATATATAGCAGCCACCAGCCTAAAGAACAAACACAGGTGTGCTCCTCAAAGAGTGAAAAAGCAGTGCGGTAAATTCTATCTGCCTACGGTTTTCTATTCACAGCTGCTGCAGCCATCACCCAGCATAACCTAATTTGATTCTAATAAACACTCTCTTTAAATCCATCTCTCTGCGTGGCAGCCGAAATCTCTGCAAGCCAGGCTTCTGCTCCCTCCCTACCTTGAAGATGTGGCACCATCACCTGGACTGATTCCCTGGCCAGCTCCAGTATCTGCTGTTTGACAAGACCTCAATTTTTTCCCCCAGAATGCTGTTGACAGGATCTTGTGTCCTGCTATGAAGGTGGCGCGAGGATAGCTTCTGTTCTGCTAGTTTGAAGATGGCTGTGTTTTTTCCAATTAAACGCATTTTGTGTTTAAATTATGTCAGTAGCTATTAGGACTTTGCTCTTCTTATTTTACCGAAAAGCGATGTATTACCTGAGAAGGTAGCGCCGTGCCTGTAAGTAGCAGGCAGCGGCTGTTGTGGGAGCCTGACAACGCCGCTGTTGCGCAAGGGGCAGTGGCTGGGCAGGAGCCGGCGATGCTGGCACAGGCGCCGGCTCGGCGCACGCGGTGCTGCCGGCTGGCCCCGCCCGTTCCGCGGTGCTG